CACATATTTTCGTATGAACGGCTAAAAATAATAAATATGTGTTACGTTCGCCTGTTTAAAGTCGCCTTCAATAGCTAATCGGTAGTTTTTGACTAATTTGATAAAATCGTAGACGGATAAAAGCTTTGCCGTAACTGATAAACGGTGTATTGGTAACAAAACAGATTGTTCTAAACTAGAATTCCGTCAATTTGACCACTAAACCACACGACCAAGGTACAAATTTTACCATACAGCAGCAGCGGTCGATAAACGCGCCTCAATTATCACAGTTATGCCACATTACCTAAATATCTCAAAAACGTTGTAGACAGTCAATTTTTTAAATTCTAATTTCTCCTCTTCTTTCTTATCTTTCAGTCAATTGCCCCTGATACTTTTTTCAATCATCAAAAAGTTTCACTTCCCATCTTTGACCTTTGCTTCTTGGTAGAAGCAGCAAAACGACCAATGGCACCCCCGGTAGTAACGTCAATGGTAACAACAGCAACAACTGCCGACCTTCAGGTGAGCAGACTGTTTGCTTTGGTTAATTTTGTCTGCTGATGATAATAATTGCTTCCTGTATTTGAATGGCATTTCGGTAAGTACAAACTTGCCACTGTCCTAATTTACGCTTTTTGTTTTTAGCAGACGATTTAGCAAATTTAACCGTCTCTGAAAAAAATTCTGCGTATTAGATTATCAAAGAATTAAGTGACCAGACACTTCACCTAAACAATAATGCATTTATGACACCGAAGCAAACTTACGCACACAAATATGTACCAACAACTAATTTTTCCAAATATATATCTGTTGATCACTGACTAATTGGTCATTTCACTTTACCACTTTGAAAGAGCTTTAAAAGCCACTCTTTAGTGCCTCTCCTTCCCCCCTCGGTTTAAGACTTCTTTCTTCTTTCACTTTTCCTTTTCTCTTGAGTGAACAGCATTACTGTTTATCACTGATAAATTACAAATCTTGCCTCAATTATACTCACTCGGACTGCTGTCAGACACATGAAAAGTTGAAAAAAATGTCATGTTTGAAAGCAA